TTATCATTATTATTATTATTATTATTATTATTATTATAACAATTTTTTTGTTTGTGCCAAAAATTAAAATGTGTCACCTTAATCCTCGTGCCATTCTTTTAGTCTATAGCCTTAGTTCCCTGGAACATCTTTTTTTATTCACTTGTCTCCAAAAAGGGCACAGTATATTTTTTTCTGCTTTTTTCAAATTGAGAGGGTCCAGTACATCTTTCAATATGATTGCATACATACTGATGCTTGATGATGTTGTGTTAACACGTCTATTTCCTTTCGATCAAAGTCAAAAGTGATTCCTGAATAATGCATAGGATCATTAATAAAGTACTGATAGCAGCAGAGGACTGATATGCGTCTTGTTTCTCATGTAAATGGGCAAAACTGACCAGACAGACGCTGTGCTCCGTTTACACAAATCTCAACAGCAGTAGCCTCCTACAAAAATCAGGTCGAGCTGTAGCAGCCGACATGTGCAGCCGGCTGCTCCATCCGCTTACACCGTCCACTGCAGGCACCTTATGACGATGAACTGACACCACACACAAAAGAAAAAAGAGCCATTGGTCCATGCGAATATTCATTTACTATTACATTTAAAACAGGTTTTCATTTTTTATTATATTTAATTAAACAACTGTGTTAAAATAAAACCTAAAAAAAAAATAGTTAAGTCTACTATACAAAAGGCAAGACATGATACATAGGCTAAGCATTAACAGAGAGAATTTAATCTGAATTACAGTTTGGTTGCTTTACAGGAAGCAAGCCTCATATTCACCCCCTCTGGTTTACAGAAGACACCTGTATTTTACATGAGAATATATGCAAAAATAATAACAACAACAACAACATCAACAACAACAATAATAATAACAATAACAATAATAAATAATAAAACATATATATTTTTATTCTAGCAAATAGCATAGACAAATTTAAAAAGTAACAATAACTTGATAAATTATCGAAACAACGCCCACACTTTTTTTTTTTTTTTTTTTTTTAAACGTATACAGATTAAATTGTAACCGAGTGGCTCTCACCTTCTGTTGATCTAGACTATAAATAGTCGTTTCTTTATCGAAGAACTACCGTGGCATTTTATTTATTTGTTTGTTGGTTTATATCCATATTTATGTTCGTATTGACAGCGCAGATTCTAACCCCTAAAATGTTTGGCAGCTTGATTTACCCATATGTACGGTATGGAAGTAGGAATTAGAGTATTACGTTCAACACGAGGGTTTTTCATCTACGAATCACTATCTACAACGAGTCTTGCTTTGTGAGTGCGTATAGGTACAGAAGCGCGTGTGCAGCTCATCCGCAGGCGCTGGTCTCTATAAAGCGGAGCTGCGCTGCTTGATCCCTGTGGTCACAGCCTGAACATAAGAGGGCGCTCCCATTGCACCTGGCTGCGCTGCCCTATCCACCCGAGACGCACAGGGAGCCGGACATCAGACTTTCAAGAGCGCTTCTACAGCTGCATCGACTTTCATTTATCACGCGTTCTGTCCATACATACTGCCAATGAGGGGAAAAACGCATTCTGAAAGCGTTCAGAGGCTAAAACATTTGCACGGTGCTCGTCTGTACGTTCATATGTTAACACGTTAGTTTTTTATAAATATAGGTCAGCCATAAATTCCAACAAAAGCATCTATAGACTGGAAAAGCCATCCATCAATCCGATGACTCTACAGAAAAAAGTGAAATGCTTTTTAATTGCCACATGCTGTGGTAGGCTAAATGTTTGTATCTGGTGTAGTATTTATTTGGTGGCATCTCCAAAAGACAGTCAGATGCTTTTTCATGTGTGTATACCGTAGACAGATGACGTACAGCCTGCTCCTTGTTTGTCTTGGTGCCTACAGTGTTCTAAAATAATAAGTCCATGCTGACCATAGACTTTCATAAAGGGGAGTGAATTCTCTCAATTGTGACTATTATCTTTAAATGCCTACTCTCTAATTTTCTACATTACATCTCCATATTTCCTCTAATTCGGTACGTGCACGTGCCCCATGCGCGAACACGACGTGGTTCTGTAGAGTTTAAATACATTAAAATTATTTTTGTCAGTTAACGTGACAGTGGTATTAAATCTGTGGGAGCAGCGGTTAAAACGATTGTTGCGCTTTGCCCCGCGCCCCAGTTCACCATTTTGTTCTGTGCGGGTCTAGTGATGGTCAAGCGCTTTTATGTGCCCCACATCCACTGAGCATTTTGCATTTAAGCCACTCTGCCTTTCTTTGTCATATCCACGGGCTGTCATAGCCACAGGTTGTGTTGAATTTGCAATGCCACTCGTCGATGTATGCCTATTGAGAGTGGCACGTGGACAGTTATCCTTCCCACAGAGAGGCGCAATTGAATGGTGCTAACACAAAAGCCCGGACCCTGTCAGTTCCCCCTTTTTCCTTTTCAGAGATGCACGAGCCCTAAAAGCACACGGGCCTCCGTCTGACTGCTCCTCGTTTTATGTAGCTCTGCCATGCGCAATATGGTCACTGATGGAGCAATGTCAATCAGGCCTTTGCATAAATTTGTAAACTGAAGTTTGCATTGTTGGGCTCTAGGCGACTGACTCACTCAAAGCTGCCTCGTACCAAGCCTCAAATTACACCAAACTCTTTTATTATCTGCGAGCCCCTTTAACTCCTCTCATACGCGAATTTAAACCTATTCATTTTTACAATCTCTTCTTCCCGAGAGAACAGACACGTCGCAAATCCTCGAGATTCCCGCGGTCTGTGTCTCACTGTGGCTGAGAGTGAGTTGGTGCCATCTCCGTGTCTTGTAGTGATATCTGGAGCTACACACAACCGTTCTACAGTAGGCTATCTCCTTCTACCAGGTAACAGTGAGTGCTTTTGCCAACGGGTGACAAGTGCGGAGGAAACGCAATGTGAGAAATGTGGAGCATTAAAAAAAATAGCCTATATATATTTCATGAGCTGATTTAAAGGATCTATGCAATTTTATCTGTGGAAACTGTGTGTCCTATGGGCTTTCCGTAACCTCTCATAACCTTAGAGTCAAAGGCCTAAGAAAAAAATGAGAATTAAACATAGTCTGTTCTGGTCACCCTTCCCTCTCAACGCATCACTACCTCACTACAGATTTACATAGACTAAAACAATACCAGAAAAAGGTGTTCTCGGGAAATCCATTATGAGCATTCAGAAAGTTGGAACATCATATTTGGTCAAATAAAAATGCACGTAGCCACTAAACTTGACATTAAGTGGATCAGGACTTGTTGGAGATTCATGCGAAGAAAAAGTACACACATATACTGAGGGATTGTCCACCACTCTTCAGAGGATCAACAATAAAAAATTATCATAACAATGAGCAGCAAAAGTCCAAAGGGTTGATTTTTGCAGTTCAGGTTTTATTCCGAGGAAACAGGGATGAATGCAAGTTACAACGAGTAAGGAAAGACGAGATGCTCAGTGCGTAAAGAAGGAGCGAATGTCAGTAAATGTACTGTGGTATTGATCAGAGAGCGTTCGGAAATTCCTCATCACCAAATCTCAAGAAAAATCAGCTACTGGCCATCTGGCCTTCTGGCATAACATCAGTGTACACAGTAAACGTGATGCATTAAAGACTTGGAAAAATAAACAAACAATAAATGAATATAATAATAGAGAAACATGTTCTATTTTATTCCTCTTATATACAGTAGTGCTTTAGTCTAATCAAAAGTCAACTGCTCTGGAGCTGTGCACGTGTACTACGTTGGCATTTGTTTTATTATCACAACGCAAAAAACACATGCACACACTGTTACGCCCAAAGAGCTTACAACAAGTATCATTCAAACTGAACTCTATATAAGATTCTGAAACACCTGACAGAAATAAGATAAAGCTTCGCGCCAGTCCGGGTCAATAAAAACTTGTTAGGCAGCATTTGTGCTCAACTATCCACAAATGATGAATTTATGCCTGTATACAAATATATAATTAAAATCAAAATGTTAATGATTAAAAATACACCCCAATGGGTCTATAACAATTGTCAGTATGTGCGAGGTGAAATTTGAGATCTGTTCTACAAATTTCAGTTTCAGTACAAGATACAATAATACAGGATCCATGTGTCACAAAGCGTGTCTTCCTATTAGGCAAACTATATTAATATTTTTATAAGGATTTTTTTTAGCAGCAACATCAAATTATTCGAGATTTAAATAACTTCTAAATAAGAGTTATACCTATAAATGCAATAACACGTAACAGCCTATTATTACGTTTACATTACGCTGTTATTTTCCTAAACGTCACTAATCTTGCGCATTTTAAGTTCCGATAATGTCAGTGTAGTAACTAAATGTAGAGTAAAGTCATTGTAACACCAAGTGCGAATTCACGGTAAATGTAGTAAAGCTGCTCTTAACGCACCCGACGCGCATGTTTATGTGATATAATGAGGAATCACAAATACATTGTTCCTCTATCGGGCACTAGATGCGCCTTTACTCGACTGTGAACTTTGTAAGTTGTCTAAACTACATCCTTTCGCAGTTGTCTGTCTCGATTAAAACACGTAAAAAGAGCCAAAAGTGATAGGATAAAACAAAGCCCAGAGGTTCATGAGCCGGAAGCGCTAGATAATTGCGTCCGTGTTTTATTTAAAAAAGTTAATTCGATGTAAAAAGCTCGCAAAATGTTGCAAAACGCGGGGTAAAGCGGTGCATGCAGCCTCGGACTTTGCCAGCTATGCCGCTTGCGCCACTATTAACTTGGACTGTCTTCCGTCTAATCAAACTCTTACTTTCCGCTCGTCTTAATTCCATACTTTCAATTCCTGATCATTACTTTGGTGTTTTTCAGCTTGTATCTATCCATCCCTCCTCCTCTTCGTTCCCCTCCCTCCCTCTCTCTCTCGAGCTCTCTCCTTTGCTGAATCTTATTGATCCAGAAGGCGGCTAATTAGCCCTTCCCTTCGTGCCTGTGTAATGAAGCACATGCGCACTGAATTAATCACAGCCATTTTTTGCAGGAAACTAATTAGCAGGAATAAAGATCCAAAGAGTTTTTTCTTTTCAATCATCAGATCTCACTTTCACCTCTTCCTAGCTCCCTCTAACACAAGACTCACCGCCTGCTTTGCATCCAAATTATTTTTATATTGCCTTTAACAACTAATACTCCGTTTTTACACTCCGCAACAACAATGATCTTTCTTTTGCCACCCTAAGCGCAAACTGACCAAAAGGGGACTGCATTGATGGGATCTTTAGCCAAACCATCACTATACTGGATTAAAACGCAAGGATCACAAAGCGGCAGCAAGAAATTGTAAGTTTCAACTTTGTGTTTGTCTCTTTTACTGTGTTTCTCCGATCCTATTCTTTTCGCTGTGGACTTATCTCTCCTGTCGGTCCGACTTTTAGCTACGTATACCGGAGCTGTCGATTCTCACGTTATGAGAAAAGACTCCCAATTTCAAGTAGATTTCATGCAAGTAGTTAGCTTTTATTCACGATTGTTATGTTTTATCGTTACCTGTGTTTACATCAGCGATCGTCCTCCTCTTCGTGAATGGAAGATAAGAACTGGGCAAGAGACAGCGATCCGCTCCAAGCACTTGATCGTACAAAAACACGATTTCTGACAAATATGTGCATTTCTTTGCATCGTAAAGGCTGTAACGGGGGGTTATGGGTGTCAAGAAGCATGTTTAGGGCACAGAATCGGTAGAAAAAGACAGTGTTACGCGAGCGAAAGGCAACGGTAGCTCCGCGTAAGCGCAGCCCAGGAAAGGAGCTCCAAGTCCAGCCTATGGGTCCATGCGTGTCCGGTGAAGACGAGCACACCTCGCGGTCTGTTTTAAGACATTTTCTACAGGGCAAATCCAGTGGGGCTTTCTGAAGGGATTCTTGCTTCTTATTCTTCTTCTTGATAAACACATTTTGCTGTTGTCCGATTCTGCCGAGCTCGTGCAATCCCTCCGCCCTGTCTCAGTTCCTCCAGCTACACTTTCTCCTTTATCGTAATCTGTCCGGCTTTTGGCCATGTTTTATTTTTCCTCCCTCATACTTTTAGCTACTGTTTTAAGTCGATTCTCGCTCATTCCCAGTCGAAGTCACATGCAAATTGATCGACATGTGTATAGGCTATGTGTGTGTGGGACGTGCGCGCGGGGGCTTGTGTTTACGCGAGTGAGAGTGTGTTGTGCGAATGGAGCCCCCGGTCTCGTCCATGGCACGAGCGGACTAGAAGTGCACCGAGAGCGGACGTAGATAGTACGGTACGGTGTGCCTGTCATGCTGCAGACATAGGCTACTAGGCTGCTCCTAGGATCACTTTTCCTCTAATACCGGGCTGTCCTCTTTACTCCGGACTGCCCGGGAAACGAGCACCAAAATTGAAAACAAAACGTGAACCTCAGCTTACACTGTATGTATGTAGTTACGGTTTCAAAAATGACTGCGTTTAACTATTGGAGAGTTCACCCATTCCCTGATATCAAACTAGTTTAACACAATAAAGCTTTTACGCGTAAAGGCCTTAACAAATAAAGACTTCCTACAGATTCAATGGTATAGTATGAAAAGTCACCCCTATAAAAACAAAAAGCGATTTTGCTTTGTATGTCTTTAGTGCTAATCGTAAATAATTATATATAGCTTAAAAATAGCTTCTTTCAATAATGAAGAGAATCCCAAGTTAGTCCTATATTTTTCTCAGAATGGAATGGAGCGAGTTGGGATTTTGCTAGTAAAGCAAGAGCAAGGCTACGAGTAGGCGCCTACCGTTTAGGGGGACTCAAGGAGTGTGTGTGTGAGAAAGAGAGTGTGAGAGTGTGTGTGGGGTGGGGGGTATGGGTCAGACAGCAAGAAACCGGGGGAACAGGGGTCATGGAGTGAGCGCACAGATAAAAAGGAAAGCAGAGGAAAACCCCTTGCAAACAGCCCAGGGACGGTGGTAGAGAGGAGAGGCTGGTTGTTGTGTGTGTGTTTTGGGAGCAGCACAAAGCACTTGTGGTTGTCAGCATCTGCACAGATTAAGACTTTGGTTTTAGTTTGGAGTGTGAAGAAATAGGCCTGATGGCTATAAAAGCTCGCCCAGGCAGCGGGTCCAATAGGCATTCACGTTTTATTTAAAGACGAGAATTGTGGAGGAGAGGACTGATATGGGGGGTTGGTTTAGAGGGGTCAGATAGCCAAGGGCCATGAGAAGAGCAGGCAGGGGAAGAGGGCACACAAACAGAGCCTCATATAAATCAAGAAAAGGAGATTATTTGTCTATTATTGAACTCTAATAAATGCATTCACATAAGTCAATAGAGTTTGAGATTTTTTTTAGTTGAGATGTCGGCACAGTGAACAGGACAGGTACTGTTTATGCCTCCCCCATCTGACAGTAACACTCCCCTCTCTCCTCCTCTTCTTCTACTCTCTGTGTATGTGTATGTCTACGGTTACAAAACAAAGACGAGCACAATAGTTTATTGTCATCTCATGTGTCTCATTCCTCTGTGTCTTGTCTCATTGTCATATTTGTGTTTAATTATAACTGTTCCTGCCAAAGCTATAGGAATGTCTTTTGGATGTTATCCATTTGATTTCTCTGACATGGTGTTTGGTGAAGATAACAACAGCACTGTGTTCTTGTCTGTAAGGATGGAGAAGTTCTCTATAGGCTTCAAAAATAATTGGAAGGCCTGGTTTAATTTTGAACTTAGTAAGGTATATTCACTCTAAAACTTATATTATTTTTTTATTTTATTTCGGTAGGCCTGACCTTGAAATGATTCTATATATGGAAATTGTATCCATGAAAAATAATTAAATAGTGACAGACTTTATTATTTCTGTGACAGCCACCATGCCGTAATGGCTATTTAGAGTGTGGCAGCTGTTATAGTTATTTATAGATGACAAAAAAAATACATTTAGGGTTTGAACTATTATACATATGCTTTCACTGATAGGTAGATACTGTATGCTCCAATGAAAAATCCAGTTTTGTTTTTAACATTGCATTGCCATTTTGAACAACATCGGCGTGAAGATGGTCGAGTAGGAAAAGCATCATAGACTTGTTTGATCATATGGGGGTTACCACAACCAGAAAAGGAGATAGCGCCTCTGGCTGTCATAACCCCTTCTCCTTATAACTCTCTGCCTCTCCCTGGCTTGCTGTTTTATACAGTGTGTGTGTGTGTGTGCATGTGTGTGTGCTGCATCGCTCCCTCCCCACCTCTCCGATGATGGGCACTGGTGCAGTAGGGAACACTGCCATGTCCCTGGTCTGAGAGAGCCCTCTTTGGGTGAACACTGTTCTCATGCTAAATACACACAATACATTATTTTTTTAATATGAGCTAAATCAATAAATGTCACATAATAACAGCAGCATATGTTATTATTGTTATTAAACATTGTTGATAATATTATAAATGATTTAAATGAAAGGCTGTTTATTCCTTGTGTGTTCATTGAAGTGATTTTGCTGATGAGTTCATGAGGTCACACTGAACTGGTTCTTCCAGTTGCTCGGTGGTGCTGTGGTGGTGTGTGCGGGTGGTAGCTCAGCTTGGTGGAAGGCCAGGTTAGTGTGTGGAGGAACAGGCAGCACACATGACTTTCATGCTCAGGTCGGTGCAGTGTTCACAGATGCTGGAGTCAGTCCATAATCTTTACAACTCTTGTGCTCACAGTTCCTCTCCTCATCCTCAGAAGCAGTCCACGTCTCCATCAGTGTCTCCCTTTTATCTTTACAAGTAAACTTGACTGCCATTTCTGTGGTTTGTTCTCTCACTATGTGATACCATGTTAACAATTATGGTTAAGTCAGTGCTGGAGAGATTTATGAGATGAGTCTCGCACTGCATCCATGACAAAAGCATTCTTTATGAAATACATTGTTTACCTTTATGCATTTTTTTTTTAAATCAGTTTGTACATTTTGTGAGCTAAGATTGAGATAATTATTAGGAATATATTAATATACGTTTAACTGCTACTGAGTTTTATTTTGACAAAACACAATATACAAGTTGAATGCTGTTCCTCATAGTAAAAAGCAATATTGTGGTTACGATCAGGATATAATATTAGTTGTATGTCCTTGAGATGACGAACTATAACAAATGCTCAATATTTAGTATAGCAGAAAGGTGACAGCGCTGAAGACTGAACAAGGTGGTCTTTGAAATATTAGCGTATCGTAGAATACATAGGTGACCAGGCTGTGCGGGGTCATAACAGATGTAGTATGGTGGGTAGTGTATGGTTTTGGGCAGTGTCAGCCTGTTCACTACTCTGGGATTGGCTGAGCCATGATACTGCGTGTGTGCAGAGTACATACGTCCACACACACGTACACATGACAGGATGACAGTGACTACGCCGAGGGCTGCTAAATTAAACAGAGCTGAACCTCGGCTAAAGCCCACCCCTCTCTGGACCATGGAGGCCAGCATTCCACCCTCCTCACTGGTGCTTATCATCACAAAGGACAGAATGCATAAAACATGGAGGACGCTTAGACACAAGCGGGCCAGGTCGCCTTTCTCTCCCTGTGCACGCTGAGACCCGAACAATACGTGGGCCCCTCTGGCCTGTGACTCTGACGACACACATGCACACGTCTTTTTATCCTTCCTTACTTCTTTGTCATGCTCTTCCTCTTCCTCTATGTTACTGTGCTCTGTGGACTGATAACTGCCCTAGCATTGTTTATCTGTGTCTGTGAAATCCGTATTGTGTTACTCCAGTGGAAGTGTGCGGTGGCTGCTGCTGTGTGGAGTGTGAGGTTTCAATACTAACAGTACAGAAACAGCCCTGTGATATGTGCTTTACATGTGTAATTTTTGCAGCTTTTGACAATAGTGAATTTATAATCTAATTGTGTATTTTTATTACATTTACAGCATGCAATTTTGGACCAGATATTTTTACAGTGTACCAAATCAGTATACTTTGTCAAGTGTTTAGTCAAGTTTATTTTTTATGGACAATAGCTTTTTAAGGGACATTGCTTTACATAATTGTCCCTTGCAGTTTTTCCTAAAGTCCTTTAAAATGCTTGATTAGATTGCACAGTTGAGTGAAATTTAACATAAACACCCTCCATATATGTTCTATGTCATGCAAGTATTTTTTCACTATACTGTTACAATCTATTTGTTAATGTTTTATAATCAAAACAGAAATATCTGCCTACTTTTTCCTATCACCAATAATGCGGATGAGGAAAGTATAGTACGTGCATGTTCTGGACTCCAGTAGTTATTTTTCACTTAATCTCTGTGTATTCCACATCTTATCTTTTTATAGAAAGGAGAAAAG